ATTACAACCTTGTCTTGTTTGGACCAACATTATGCTAGAGGAACTTAAAATGTTCTTAAAAAATTACTTCTACCTAGAAGCTGGTGGAACACTTTACTGATTTGAATGTTTTTGTTTATACTAATAGGGCTTGTTGATTTTGTGATTGACGTCGAATGGTTGCCCAGATGAGAGTACCAGTCAACTGAGGAAGGTTGGATTAACGTGACCAGAGCCAACACTGGGGACTACTGCAAGCCAGGAGGGTGTGCAGAACACACCAAGGCAGTGCTCATGTGCATTCATTTAGCTAAGAGCAACTACTAGTTTGTCAACAAGGCCTCTGTGCAGGATCTCAATGAAACCATTACAGTTGGATGCGATTCTGGTACTATTTGTTTTCCATAGTTCGGTATCACAGAGATATATGTAACTAAAATACAATATATATAATGGTTAATACTATATATTTGTTGTTTTTGCAGGTTTTACAGGACTTGCTATAATCTCAAGTGCCAGGAAGATGCAAGAAAGCAAATCTGCCCTCTTTTTCTCAATCATACCATCTTTGTTTCTGATGGTCTACTACATGTGAACCGTCAAAACCAGATATATTAAAGCAAGTAGTGTGTGTATCCTATAATGTACTTGAAATATGAACCACATTTATTTAAGTTTCAGCATGATGAACACCCAATTAGGATCTTGAAAAGAAAATTTCAAAGCCTTCTCAGGGTGAGAAGCAGCAAAGCAAGCTCTTTGTATAAGAAATCTAACGAGTTGATACACAAACTGAAAATTTGTGATCATAATTAAATCTGTTTGGTGCCAATCTGATAACTATAAGCTCATTATGGGTTTGCTAAATAATTGAACTATATTGTAGTAACCAAAATCTACAAAGAAAGATGATGAAATTAGGAAATAAGTCATGATGTTATGGATTGAATTTACTTGATATTAGTCATGATTTTATGAGTGTGTACTTATTATTTCGGAATCTTTTCAATGGGCACAAATACTTTTCTAATTATGAAGTTTTATGAGTCAAGTAAAAATCGTGCTTAGTTTCTTCCGTGTTAAATGAGTTCTCTCTGTACGGTAAATTGCAAAAATGTAAAAAGTTCAAAACAGAACACAAATAAATTAAGATTGCAATGAGGAATTTTATCAAATAGTTGGTGCACAATAAAAAAGAGAGGTATCCATAAGAGACGACGACGTGTCCGGCAGAATATGAACCTTCTTGAGATCATATGTACCCAGTTTGGTTATAGTCTCAAAATCCTTCAATATGATAATGGAGTAGAGTTTATGTATGGTGGTCTTGCCTCATTTTTTTTTTTTTTTTTTGGATAATGGGTGGCCCCTCCTCTGTTCAAGATTCATGACTATTTTCACCTTCCAGATACTAACAAACGGAACCTCCAAACCTTCGGGAATCACACTTTTATTATATAATTTTACCAACCAATTATTTGCTTAAGATTTTATTTTTGTAAAAGAATCTTATACATTTTCTTATTATTTCTATACACATTTAAAGACCAATTCAAATTATTGGGTTGTGCTATATACTCATCAATTTATATTTAATTACTTTTTTTATTCGAATATGATGTAAGACAAAATTGATTTCAAAAACTTGAGCCAATTAAGAAAAAAACAGACGCAAAAGTTCGTTAGGGTAGTTTCAAATACGTAACTTGACTTGGGGGCATAATGTTATTTTTGTCTTTTATATGTTATATGTTTTTTGGCCGTTGAATTTTAAATCTCCAACTAACATTTTGCAATAAATAGAATAGATTAGGGGTTAAGTGTCTTTACAATAGTAGGACTTTCTTGGAGAGAGAAGAAAGTGCAGGGGTTCAGTGCATTTAACATAACTGTATTTATAAACATCAGTTGTCCAAATCCAATTTGCAATTATAATTTATAATTCAACTTTTGTAATAACTGTTGAAGAATTGCTCTATTTATGTGCGCATAGAGATTGTAATCCTATGTGAGTTATTCTATTATAAGTAAACAAAGTGCATCAATCATATGAAGCCTAGTGTGAATTTTTAAATATGGTGGACCGATTTCACTGAATTTTAATCTGTTCTGATGAGATTGATTCGGTAACCCCTGTGAGCACGCCAAATGGGACAATTACATGTGATCTTTACCCTCTAGGTGCAGAGTTGCGTCCACACACATTTCTATCTTCCTCGTCTTGTCGGCGTCTACATTCAACATGATTCTACTCAAAAACAGTTTCGAAAATTTTAGTACTAATCTACCCTTAATTTCCATACCCCAAATAGTAATCTCTCACCACCTAGCATGCCATTTTGGTAATTACACGCGAAACAAAACAAAACAAACCTGTCACAAACTCGTTAAGCAGACCATGTTTAACCATATATACATTACAAGTATCGAATGTATTATAGTTATGAAGAAGAAGAAGACAACATAAATTTTACAAAGAATTAAGTAGAGGCATCTTCGATTCTCCGGGATGAAGTCAACCACGAAAGACGTCGGAGCACAAGCTCCGCATTTTACAAATAATTAAGTAGAGACATCTCCGATCCTCCGGGATGAAGTCGACCACGAAAGACGCCGGAGCACAAGCTCCGCTCCTCCCGGAGGTCGAGTATACGCCGAAAAAGGGAGCGTCAGTTCCGACGCGGTGTTCAATGTGTCCACCAGTATAATTGGGGCCGGAATCATGTTGATTCCGCGCGACTCTGACTCTGAAGGTGTTAGGTGTAATTCCGGCTTTGGTGTTGATTATAGTGGCTGGCGTGTTGGTGGATGTATCGGTGGAGTTCATGTTGAGGTTCACGAGTTTCGGCTGGTCCACGACTTACGCTAGCTTGATGAGGGAGTCATTTGGACGGTTCGGATCGGTTGCTGTGCAGATCTGTGTCATGATCACCAACCTTGGTTGTCTCATCGTTTATCTCATTATCATTGGTAAGTATATAGTATTAGTTTAGTTGTTTTTCTTAGATTTTATTTATTTAAAACTGAAAATTAAAAAATTGTACAAAAATCAGAGTGGTTGACCATTTTTTAAACTATTTTACCAAAAATCAGTTAAAAAATAATAATATAGTATGTTTTTCAGTCCTTTATAGTTCTCTGCTATTTATTGAGATTTTGAAAACAATTTTCTGAATAAAATTAAGTCACTCACTCTATTTTTTAAAATTTTTAGAATCAAGAAATAAATTTTTTTTGTTGCGTTTGGTTGTATGAATTTGATGTCTTGAAATTTAAATTATATATATATATATTTAAGGCATGAATTCAATGCAATCGAACATATTATTGAAGGAGTCTGGTTGGGTTCCATTTTTGTGTTTTCTATTATAGGAATTGTCATTTTTTATTTTTTATTTTTATTTTTTTGAGTTGGAAATTAACGCACTTGGATTGTTTTGATTTTTGATAGTTACTTTAATTTAGTCATTACGATATTTTCCTTATTTTTTTCATGATTTTTAAAGAGAGCCAAATTGGACTGTTTTGAAAATTCGTATGTCTAAATAGTTGTAATATTTAGCAGAAGAAAATTATTATTCATTAGTATATCACATCATACAACTTTTTCTTTGTTAAAATCTTTGTAAATTCAAAGTTCGGTTTACTTTAATAATTTTTGCTTCTCCTTGACAATGCTTATTAATTTTTTCATGGCAAGAATGTTAAGGGTAGGCGATTAGAAGAGACGGTGCAAGCTTTGAACATGAGCTATCGAACACGGAGAGCAACCCAACCACTTGGGTAACACGGTACTTGCCTCCTCCTTTACAATATATTTTTTTATTTTTTATTTATTTTGTATTTTGACAATAATAATGTCAGGCCTTTTAGAGCACTCCATAATCCACCACCGGACGCATTAGATTTCTTCCATCCAACATTTCTTCCATCCAACATGAACCGGATAATTTTATAAGACTAAATAATAGACAGAAGGATAAAGGTAGCAGAATGCAAAGGATGAATAGCTGTTACAAAATGAGCGCTTGTGTACAATTAACCCTGTCACAATGTTTTGTGAAATTAATCCTGTATAACCATGTTGACATTAAAAAAATAGTCTGTGCACACACTAATTGTTGTTGATGTAGATGAAGGAGAATAACCGAAATCAGGTTAATTTGAAGTTATGAAATTTCAATTTCAAATTCAAATTCTTATGTGTGAAAACAATCAAATGGAAGAAAATGCTAAATGAAAGAGAGTTAAATTAATTGAGCAACCTGAATTTTTCCACACATGGATTCGGTAAATGGAAGTTATGGTATTGTGTAGTTAAAATCGTTGATGAATTGTGGTAAAATTCATGGCTAATTGTATTCCCCCCACCTCCTCTTCTTCATTGTTCTGTTTGTTATGCTTCCCGTCGTGTAGGTCAGTACTCATTTCTACAATGTCAATGGTAAGATTTCTTACTATTCTAATCTTGTTACCCATTTTTTGTGGGCTGTGATTGTATTGTGATGTTACTATTCTAGATTGTACTGTGATTGCCCTGAAGGTGAACTGTCCTGATAACGGACATTTTTTTTTATTGTTATGGTAATACATTCATTTCCTTCTCGATCTGGTCCTTTATGTAGTCCTCAGCTGCAAACTCATCAAATCCCAAGGTGGAATTGGTAAATCATTAAAGCATCAACAGCTGCAGATGCTACCATTTATTTCTTCGAAGTTAAAGCAAACGCACACACAAACAACATGCCTCTGGTAAGGCTGGAACTCTCAGCAGATATATCATTTGAGTCCCTATTGAAGCTTCAACAATTTTAAAGCTCCTTTTGACACTTGAAACAAATCATTTTTTTATTTTATTTTATTTTATTATTTACCATTTTCCCCTTCTCCTCACAGTAGTCTTGTAAGCTATAAAGATGGAAATCTTCCACCAAAGCAAAGGATCACCATTAACCTCACCATCATGAACAGACTCATAAACAACACTAAGCTACATCAATCACATCACATAGTACGCATAACCCAAACATCACCATACTCAAAACAAATAACCAACAAGCATACAAGTAAACTACCAATGAATCAAACACCACCACATAATATGGCTGAAAGAAACTTGGTGGATTAATAACCACCCCCCAATGCCAATGGTAAAAAAAACATATTGTAGCTACTCAGGATCAAAATAACTCTAAGTATTTGTTATGCCCTTTTGGCCTAATTTCAGCAATTAGGGCAAAAACACATCTAAAATCAGGAAGAGCAATTGAAGTGATATTATAAAACCTAAAATATAATATATATATACAATAAAGTTCAGTTCAGTTTAGGAGGATTGACTCTCCTTGCAGTGGTGTGAGCCCAAGACTTCTACCACACCGAGGTGTCCATCAACCTTGGCACTGCAATTTAAGCACAATGATATAAGTACATCTAAATAACAAACCAACAAACCAACTATCTAAATGAAATCCTAAATTCACACCATATCACATTGACAAACAACACTTCCACCCAAAACTGAAGATTGCAACTCCATCAAATCAGATATCACAATCTGACCTAAAATTCATATGAAAATCCAAATGTTATTAAGTATGAAAATCTTTAATCCTCAAGCTTTGCTTATTTCAAATTGATAAACTTTCCCCTTTTTTTTGGCCCATATCTGGTTCATCTGATTAAAGTTTTGGTTTCAGAATCTTAGTGTGACAGCAGCCTATTGTTCCATAAGTGAAAGCTTAGAGAAGGAAAAAAAGGTCAGTTTTACACCATAAATTCTAGATGCAGTTGTTCAGTTATTTAAACGTCAAAGTTACCTTAGTTATATGTGGTATACTTGATAAAAAGATTATTGTAACAAATTTCTTGGCTGCAGAAAACGCACTCATTAATTCATGCTGTTTTTTCTATCGGCTTAAAACACATTAAAATAACATTCAAGCATATCAATGTCATACACTAGAAACAAAATTTCACTCACATGCGGACGCGCACAGGAAAACAAATCATCCACAGTTTCTCGTACATGTCAAACGCTATTTCTATGTTAGATCTAAGTGAAAAGGCATAAACTAATTCTAAGGTTGATAAACTTAACCGATAATTCTAAGTGAAAAGAAATACGTACCCTCCACCGGGTGAATCTGTCTCTTCCTCACTGGAGCAACAGTTGTTGCCTTCTGCTTGAGGTTTCCATCTTCATCAACTCCTACAAAACAAGTAGTACAGGTAGAACAGTAGTAATAATATATAATGGAAATTATACCATGAATAACAAGATGCAGTAGACAAAATGCTTACTCTCTAATAAGCTCCATTTGTTGTTCAGTTGGATTAATGAAGATTGGAGTCGTTTCTCGTGTGTTCCTTCATTTCAAAACCAATAAAATATTTAATAAGACAAAGCGTACTCAATAACATTTGATAGATAATGAAACATGCTCCTAGAAAACCTACACCTTGTACTGTCTTATTCAACCATGGAAGATACAGGGATCTGAATATCCAGCTCCCTGTATCTTCCCTCTCTTATGTTCTTCTTGGCTCTAGAGAAGACCTCTTCCTATACCTTTAAAGAGCACAAAAACCAGAATTGATAAACGTAACCGATAATTCTAAGAAATACGTACCCTCCAGAGGGAGAATTTGCTTTTTCTTGGACTTTTTTATCTTCTCCGCTACAGCAACAGCTCTTGCCTTCCCCTTGCTGTATCCTTCATCAACTCCTACAAAACAAGTGGTACAGGGTAGAACAGTAGTAATAAGATATGATGGAAATTATACTATGAAGAACAATATTTAGTAGATAAAATACTTAGTCTCTATAACATATATCCCAATAGCTTCACAAAAGGTCCTCAATAGCAACCAATTTCCAATCCTACTAAAACAAACCATTTTGTGTTGCATGGAATTAGAATATAGAACGGAAAAAAGATGCCATTTCTTATATGGTTTATCTTTCTACAAAGCATCCTTCATCCAAAACTTCATTTGTTAATCATATAAGGTTTGGTTGACAGATCAATGATGATGATATGAGGCTTAAAACAAAGGTTTCTTGGTTAAAACTAAATGTTAGAAAAGAATAACATGGAATCTTTGTCACAAATATCAGTATGCCTAAAGGTTAACATGGTGCTATAATACGAAATCCCAGAAATCATACTAGCTTTTCAGAAACATATTCAAAAGAAAAGCTAAGTAATATAAAATTCCATGGAGACTCTCTCTCTTGGGGAAGGAGCTCTAGTCCATGAAAACCCTCTCTCTTCCTCTCTTCCCATACATACAAACGAGAGGATTTGTAATTCAGAGATGACGACTTCATGATGAGTACTCACACCAGAGAAATCAAACCTGAATGACATAATAAAGAAGGTAGCCCACCAATGCCATAATAATAACAAAGTACCCTTACCCCACCAATGACATAATGAATAAGAAATCAAACCTGAATGACATAATGAATAACAAAGCACCCTTACCCCACCAATGGGCACTAGCCCGTATAAGCTCTCCTCCCTAAAGGGAAGGTTGGGTGTTCGTGGAGGCATAATATATAAGGAGGAGGGGAGGTGTATATCCCATTCATTAAAAATTTTCCTTGGTATCTCTAATAGAACAAACAAAAGCCTATGGTGGAGCTGATTAACTCTAAAGGCTATTGAATTTCTTTTTACCCTAATGAAAAATACAGAGAACTAGGAAAGCAGTGGTCCAGTCCAGTGGACTTTCTAGAAGAGCTCCAAATGAATTAGGTAGAATGTGAAAATCGGCAAGCTGTTGAGCCATAAAATTGACATTCAGTAGTTTCAAAAACTGCAATTCAGTCTAATATTTTCAGATGCAAATTATAAAGTGAAAGAATCTCAGACGGATATTTAATAGTATTGCAGCAACTCTGTTCTACATATTCAATAAAATTCAAACCTCCGACAGAAACACCTTGACCTGCTAGTCATTCAGTTTTATGAAAAGACATTATGTTATATTTATAAACAAAATAATGAAGCACCAAATCAAATCCCCTTCTCAACAAATCAAAATATTTTGTTTTAGAACTATAAAGAGGTAAAATAGAAAGAACATGAGTTCCAATAGTGATGCAAGGAATCAACTATAAAGGAAAGGAATAGTACCATAAATAAATTCTATTAAACGAGTTTTGCCCTTTGCTTCTGAAGAGGATGCAGCACTTGAAAAATTATTCGCAAATCACTTAATCTTAGCAAAATAAATACCTTTCATTGAAACATCAGTGATATTTTTGCGCTTTTCTATAAACGGCATATCTGCAGAGGTCGATGCAGCAACCTTCTCAACAAACGGAATAGCATCTACTACTACTTGAACTCGAGTATCATCAGATCGGTTAATGTGTTCGTCCTGTTCATCCTTACGAACACGACCGCCGTGACGACGACGAAGACGGCCGCGTCTGTCATCGTCATCGTCATCGTCATCGTCATGCCCACCACCTCGTCCGCCAAAACCTCCCGTTCGCCGCACATAAGCCAAATACTCCTGAACTATTAGAATAAGGACGCAATAAAATGAGTATATTATGGTAGCGACTAGGTCAAGATGCTTCAAACTTATATGTAGTCCAGACTCCAGGGTAGGATGGATGAAATCAAATACTTCACCGGCTGAAACCATCTGGGACATACAGAGACCGTATGTGGAAAAGAGGCCAAGGGTGACTATAGCCATCCCATTGACAAGACTATGTCCAAGAAGACAGAACAATACTCCCACCCCTATCATTTTAAACCCTCTCACCAGTGGTTTCAAGAGCCAGTGTCTCCCTCTAAATGGTGAAAACCTAAGAGGCCCACAGATGAGAACTGTTATACAGGTGGTCCAATGCATGAAATAGACGAGTTGTGCAAAGTGAGGAGGAAATTCGAAAACCTGAATGGCACATTGGACAGTGCAATAAAGGGCAAGAGAGGACAAAGCCGTCCACACAAGAATCTCCATGTAAACAACTATTGGTAACGAAAATATCCCAGGTAATTTCGCCATTAGAGGAGAGCTCCAGAACCAGCAAACTTGGTCCGAAGCTGAGAGACGAACTTGAAATAGTGCGCTGTATAAAAGACGGTGTAAAGAATAAAGACAAAAAAAAAAAAAAAAAAAAAGAGGGGATAATTTACCCAGACCTCCCCATGGTTTGCCCTAATTACGGGGACCACCCTTACTGTTTCGAAAATTACGCGGATCTCCCCTACTTTTAAAAATATCTTACACAGACCTCTCTTCCGTTACCGTCAACGGCAGAAATTGATGACATCATCTATTATTTTTTTCTAAAATTCCTAAAATACCCTTCTCTATATAATTTCATATTATATTTAAAAGATATATATATATATATATATATATATATATATATAAACATGTATTCGATCTTTATGGAGGCAAATCAAAAAATTAGATAGATTAGGGTTTCTTTGATAAACATCGGTGACAATATTTGCAAATTTAATACACAGCATCAACGATTTCAACTTCGCAGCCGAGTCCGACTCGAAACTCACGGAGTCAACACCGATCTCCAGTGGAGGCGCCGAGTCTTTCGGCAGAAAAGCAAGAATAGAGGGGCTTTGTTCTTTACGTGGCGTTTGGCTCTCAAGTAGAGATATCAAAAGCACAATTACATGAAATTGCAGTTGGGTTAAAGAAATCAATGGTGAATTTTGTGTGGGTTATGAAGAAAAAGAGGAAGAACTAGGAAATGGATTCGAAGAGAGAGTTAGAGAGAGAGGATTGATAGTGAGAGAGTGGGTGGATCAGAGGAAGAATGTGGTGGAAGATGGGTTTGGCGGCGAGAAGGGGAATAGGACTTTTGGCTCATTGATTATGTGTGTAGGTGTGTGTCTTGAATAATGAGACTAGTATATTGAATAATATTTTTAGTTATGGTCCTTCCTGCTTCTAGAAGAGATGATTGTATTTAACTAATATAGAAGAAATAGTAGATGAGAGATATGTCTTTACTTTTTAGTTATGTTTCGTTTGCCACCACTGGAAGATTTGAAACAAATTTAATTCATTTTTAAATTTTAAATATTCATTCTCCCAAGAAGTTTTTCATGATTACAATTAAGTTTTTGTAGGTGGGAACTAAACTCTTCTGAGATCGAATCAAAATCAGTGGGAAATGATTGAAATAATAACATGATTTGGGAATCTTTCTAATTTGCAGTCTATATTATTGCCAGAATTTTGCCATATCAGACCTGTAATAAATTGTCGGATTACGCCGGAAAAAGTGCAAAGGAAAAGGATTTGGGCCGGAATTAAACATAGCTGAATATATATGCTCTCACTGAAATCTATGCAATCAGATGAGTTGGCCTCTTAATTATTTGGTTCAGATGTTGCAGTTTATATGAGAGATGATTTCGGTAAGTTAGAGAGAGAGAGTAAATCCTTGGAGAAGATGACAAGCTGATGTCATGCTTACCCAATAACTTGAGGGGTAGTTTAGTAATTTCAGATGCTAAGGAGAGGGTATTTCAGTAATTTTGACAACTCCGTTAGTGTATTTAACGGTCTGCCACACATAAGGGAGGTCCGTATAGATTATTTTCATTTTTAGGGAAGGCCCGCGTAATTTCTGAAACAGTAAGGGTGGTTTAGGGGAAGTCTATGTAAATTATTCAAAAAATAATAAAAATTTACACCTACCTCCCCTAGTATTTGCAATAATTACAGGGATTTCCCCTATTATTTGAGAATTTACTCGGACCTCCCCTGAAAATGAAACTATCCTACACGGGACTCCCGTCTTCGTAACAGACTGTTAAATAGACTAACATACCAGTTTAATACAACAAACCACCACCCACCCGACCCATCTACGTTTTCTTCCGGTCGACCACCACCACCCCCACCACCACTATCATACCTCTCGCGATTACAACCGCGATTGACCCTCAAATTGAAGACCACCAACATCGGTGCTTTGGGAGAAAACGAGTACGGATCCAGTACTGTACTGAGACATTTGTTCTCTATCGAGATTTTGCAATCTCCAATGATCTGATCTCTGACGAGCTTACCGGCATCACTGTAGGATGCATCGCGGAGAGCTGTAGAGGCACGAGCTTTTCGTCAGAGAATAGCTCTTCGGTAAGGAGTAAAATGAGCAGATCTTCGAGCCTGAACTCGAAATCGCTTACGGAAACTTCTGTCTTCAACGGCTCTCCGCCACAATTTCTTAGCGGAATCATATTCGATGACTCACCAATTTGTTCCCCCCCCCCCCCCCCCCTCTATTCCCTTTTTCTTCTCTTTTGTTCTCTCTCTCCCTCCTCCACCTTATATCACAATCGCCACCAAGCACCACCACCACCCTTCAACCACAACCATAGAATAATATATACACAGGCATCAATTATCTGCCCTTCCTCTTCTTTGATTTGGATCCCAAACACAGAACACCGATTAAAGAACCCCAAACACAGAACACCAGTTACTCAAACCCCAAACTTGAATCCCAATCCCAATTACTCAAACCCCAAACCTGTATTACAATCTCAATCACTCAAAGAACCCATCCAATCCCAAACACAGAACACCAGTCGCAATCCCAACCACTCGAATCAGTCTTGTTAGTATCTTTGTTGCCACGTATTCGCCAGAGAATTCACATCGTTGGTTGATTTCTCTATTACGAAACAATCAATCCCCAGGCTCTTGTATGTTAAAAATAAAAGAGAGATTGGTGATGTGTATATGCGTATATGCATACTTGAATGTAGAAATATTATCTCTGTGGTCGATGGGGGTGGGGGTGGTGGTGATGGTGGGCCAGTAGATGAATATATAATAGAGAGTGTGAGATAGATGGTGGTGACAAGGGTATTTGGGGAATTTTACTAAATTTTGTACATGACATCAGCACAATCTGTCATTGACTAATGTTGACTCTAACGGAATTGAGGTGCATGTAAGATATTTTCATTTTTAGGAGAGATTCGAGTAAATTCTCAAACCACTGAGGAGGTCTCTGTAATTATAGCAAACCATAAAGGAGGTCCGTGTAAATTACACAAAAAAACATAAGGTAAATTACACAAAGCACCCCTCATATTTCCATCTCATGCATGCCTATAGATGGTGGTATGATATATTGGTCAACTATCTCTATGATTTCATTGACCTTACACAATGACCTCTATTTGTGAGTTGAGCCTAAAATCAACTTGGGGTAAAAGAAGTTTTGGACAAAACTAACCTTCTTGTTTTTAGAAGATTAAATTGTCCATTTATGTCAAATAAATTATGCCTTCACCCAGACAAAAATATCATTTTTCCATTTGGATCACATATCTCACTTATTTATCATTGCCATAACCACTTGAATATCAATACAACCACTGTCCCACTTGAAAGATTTATGTATTTTCTGATTAGCTGCTTTGATTTCAAAGAGTTTATGAGTTTCTTTTTAAAATGAAGTAAAAGTGTGAGATTGACCCAAAATTGAAAACTCAGATCACAAATAGTAGTAAATAACATATACCTAAAATCAAATATGGCAAATAACTAAATAAATGCCTCTGCATGTGCAACGTGTTTGTGTATATGTGTGTGCGTGTATGTGTATGTGTATGTGTAGATATATATGAATTTTTAGATCTATATATATATATATATATGTGCAAATACATATATCTATCAAATTAAAACACTAACTTTTTAAGGCTAGCAGGGTTGTCAAAATTCGGCAAATAGAGCAAGAGGTGGTTTGAGAGAGACTGTGTCTCGACGGTGGCGAGTGATATATGTATATATGTGTATGATTGTGTTCGTGTGTGTATAATTTGTATATACATATAAGAGGAAAGAAAAAGGAGGGGCAAAAACCTAACTTACACATACCAACTCCCTTCCAGATTCTCTCTTTAAAAGGAACTGTTTTGTGCAGTAAGTTCATATCGGTAAATTCATCTATATCTTCTAAGGTTAACTAGTGAACTTGGAGCTTCCTGATATATCACGCCTGCTTCAATATTAGTGTACGACATGAAAATATCAGGGTACTTTCTGTAATTTGCCAAAAAAATACCATTGCTCACGAAAACTGAAGGACTTAGAGTATTTATTGACGGTTCACATCAAATGGCCTCCAAAAACGAGGATTGGGGCGCGCCCCATAATGTTACTTAATGTTCTTAACTCATGATTATATATATAATATAGGGTAATGTGTAAAAAAAAAAACCCTTGATATTTACTCCCTCTCCCAAGAAATTCCCATGAACTTTTATTTTTACATTAAACCTCCTAAACCTGACCTAAGTTTTTTTTTTTTTTTTCCTTAAAAAGGACAGTATTACCCTTATTAATTTTATTTTATTTTTCTGCCAAAAAATCAAAGAAAATATAATCAGACACAACCATTACATCCATTATATAGGAGCATCCCTCGCCGCAAGGATAAGATCTCCATCAGAATATGAGCAAAAGCACAAATTGAAACCCTTAAATTGTTGGTTTTTAACCCTCATTCACAAATCGCCATTGCCGTTTATGTATATGTACATATATGTATATGTTATATTGAGCATAAAGTCAAAAACCTTTAAATCTTCCTGGAGACGACTGATATATAGACACACCATATAACTTCTTTTATGCTCTGTTTGGTTGGAGGGATAGAAAAATAGATGGAAGGGAAAGGGGGATGGATGGATGAGTCATCCCGAAGGAAGGGAAAGTGTCTCTTTCATTTTTTGTTTGGTTAAATGGAAAGGATGACAGAAAGGATTGATGGAATGCTAGTTTTTTTTGTTTAGTTGGAAGGAAGGAAATGATAGTTTTTATATATTTTTTACTAATATACCCTTACTATATAAAGTTATAAAATTAATTAGTTTAAAATTATTTAATAATATTGAGCTCTACTAACAAGCAAGTTGTCTAAAATCAATGTTTTATACTTACGTACCAAACAATTTTTTTTTTATATACCAAACAATTAATTAATTAAAATTTATTTAATAATCACTATAGTTGATTAACGCAACAA